CCCCAAAACCCCAAAACCCCAAAACCCCAAAACCCCAAAATTTTTAGAAATTTATAATAATTAATGAAACAAAAGCCACCTCTGGCAACCAGAACTCCTTACAAATGGCCTATTGAGAGAAATGCAGGCTTTATAGAGAGACAAGTAGGTTCTAGAGGGCTAGTTTCTTATAATTCTATGAGAGTAATTTAGGAAATTCGTAACCGAAAGTAATATACCAAACAAACAATTTCACAATTTGTCTACTAGTGGATGCTTTAATAAAGTTGTTTCAAAATCTGATTAGGTATTATTGACCATTAGACCTCCTTTGAAGCTTAATTTTATATTTCTTTAGAACTATGTGCCTTTCTACCCTGACATTGACCCAAACCTTAAATCAAATTACAAAAAGATTATTCGTACAGAAAAGAAATTTAGTTACAACGAGTTTTACTCAACTATGAAAGAGATAAACGGGAATAATGAGGAAGAACCCTATACTCGAACAGATGTTGCTCCTCGAATAACAGCGTCTGCACCTTCTATAGGATTTAGTAAGCTACCACCTTTAGGAAGAGCTCCAGCAAATTTACCTCCAAAAGTTACCTTCCAGAACCAGAACTCTCAAGGTACTCTTGAAGAAAGTTCATTCTATTCTTCTGATGGAAGTCAAATGTTGGGGGTTCCACTGAGGAAGATACCCAAAATGAGCCCTCTTCAGAAGAAAGGAGAGATTCAGTATGTACAAAAAATCTCAGAATTGAGTACTTATGACCGTATCTCACCCAACCGTATTTCAATCTACAACTTTCAGAAATAAGCACAAACCACTCATAAAAACCCAAGATAGCCAAAAATCCTCAATAATGACTCGAAAATGGAAACGAAAAAGGTTAATTTTTAACCGCTACCAGCACCAAAAATCCCAAAACGCCACTACAAACCTACCCAAATTCCAAGTTTCTAGCTCCCCAACTTTCCTTCCTACAGCTACATTCAAAACTTCCCAGACTATTAATTCCTAAAACCCCGCTTACTGTCACTAGAAAGTTAGTTTCAGCCGAGATTTGGACTAAAGGGGTTTTGGGGTTTTGGGGTTTTGGGGTTTTGGGG